ATGTGATCAATGAAGAAAAGCTATTAAAAAATAACCATTTATAAGTTAATTTGACTCGAATTTTAATTTACGTGAAGTGGGTTGGAAAAGATTTGGGGATAGGCCATACCGGAATCCAGAGGATTGTCTTGGAGTTGAGGATGCAGAATTGTGCAAATAACTTCTTGGCTCTGCTTCCTGAGACTCCAAAATAACCGACCTGAGCTTACGTATTTCTTGTGAAGGACATTGTCAGAACGACCAGCGGTCATGTACGAGAAGACCGACCAAATACATTAACCCAAGGATTCTTCTTTTCGTAAACTAAGAATGTTCGCTCTGATGATGTCACACGACAGATGACAGTCAAAATAAATTAATTTGGGTCAGTGGATGACCTGAGGAATTCTTCGTACAATTTCATAGTCACTACTCCTAAGAAATCCTTCTTCGATTCCCGGTCAGACCACTTCACGGATTCCTTCAAACCGACTTTTCCCTCGAATCGAAAAGATGAGTCCTTTGCGACTAGGGTTGAATGGATCTTGCTCTTAGTGACAGCTTTTTCATCTGAATAGCTAGGAGTTTGAATAATTTTATTTTGCAGGCCCTTCCTAAGATTAGTTACTTATTGAATATATCTTATTCCTATTCAAATGTGAATGATTCACAATAAGCAAGATTGTTTTTAACAGTCCCCCCGAAAAGAACCCTTAAATCTTTTTCTAATTATATGCGGCCAGGAGTTATAAATAAAAAATACCAAGACAAATAAGCTTTTTGGCATAAACGTAATATAAAAAGGCGAATATATATTAAGCAGATTAAGAATGAAAATAGCTCAAAAAGTGTTAGCCTACAAAGAAGCATGGGGTAATGTCGAAAAAATAACATGAAATCACGTCAATAATTTAGAAAAGAATGATTCATGAGATTACAATAAAATATATAATATATATAAGTCTAAACAAAGGCAGTCTCAAATAAGGGAGCTAAAAAAACTCAAGAGCAGAAACGGAAATACTTCGTGCTAGCAGACATTTCTTGGGTTTGCAGTTCTAATTTCAGAAGGTAGTTATCAAGGCTTTTCACTAAATCGGCAGATGCTGCCTCCATATTCGGGACGCTTCGTTCTAGCTCTAAATTAAAGAAATAGAATTAGTCAAAAGAATAAGTTTTGCAAAACAATGTTAATTTCAAGAAACGCTGTAGTTTTTCTGTGGTGGAGGACAATGCTATCATATGTTTTCAGCCTCAATTAGCTCCATAAGGTTATTTTGTACGTTGCAGCTGTTGTATCCCAGATGGGGACATCTTTTTACGCGATGTCGAGAAGGCTAGCCAGCCTCCCTTTGGGTTATGATTTAACGGGTAAATAAGAACTTCATTCAGTAGCCTGACTGTCAGAATATAGATGCAGAGCTAGGCTAAGTAATATTTGTGAGTGCAAACCTGTAATTACCAGAAAAAATATAAGAATTATTTTCTAAACAAGGCCGCCTTGAGCTGTGTTGTTATAAGCAGGCGTTTAGATTTTTTCCCCTTAGTTAACTAAACTAGCTCCTCATGTCTACACAGCTAGGAAATATCACTGTCCTGAGATTAACTCAAAGTGCCTGCGTAATAGTCAATAGTTAAGATAAAAACAAATGAGCGCCATCAGACCTTCCAAAAAATAGCATGATTGGATAAAGGTTTCAAGGGACACGACGTAGGATGTGGCATAATTTAATGATAGTATTTAGTAAGTTAGATATAAAATGAAATAATACATGAATGAAGGGGTTGAATTGCTTCTAAAATTTGTCTGAAATCAGTAGCCAAACCGAGTTACTGATTTCGCTTAATAGGTCAGGATGATGAAGGCCGTAAACGGCAGTGAATGAGTGGTCCCTAAAAAAACCCAAATCTATATGAAGAAAGTATGCGTGGTTGGGTGGTGAGATGAGTGTTAGCAACAGCAAAAGGGATTAAAGAAGAATTATCGTAGGCTAAAAGCCAGGAAATGTAAAATAGTAGGAGAGAAAGGACTTGTGAATTTGTTTCATGCCTAACTTTTTGGTGGTGATGCCGATTTCTTTATCAGTAGAATGTGTAGTAATGTAAGGTGTCAAGAATCCGTTTTTATCTGATTAGTTATTCGCTATATGTGATGATAAATCGCTTTACTTTGCCTTATTTCCTATTCATGGCCTTATTTTAATTATCTCTTAATTTACAGGGTAAGTTCCAGCATTGTGTCAATCCATCAATCAATTTCCCAGTATGCATTAAGATAGACTGACATTTAAACTGTGAAAATAATTATATGCATGCATGCATATATATATATATGTGTGTGGGTGTGCACAGCGGAGAATTTTAAAATACGAAGAATTCGAACAGCTTTATTAGAAGTACCTTCCAGGGTCACGATATCCGTCTCCAAATCACTGTTATATTTTTGTACTTCAGCGGTCAACTCGTTTAGATCTGTCATTTCCATGCCTCCGGAAGAGTCTGGTTCACCCCCTGGATTGAGGCTGCTCATTAAATCTTCGAGCTCTCTCATCTTGGTCTCCAACTCCTTTAGTGTAATCTGAAAAAAGATGTAATGGACTATATAAAAGGTTTGGTTTATATCTTTTAAATTCACTCAGGAACTCATCAAATTTTATGCCATTTCTTAATGAGTGAACTCACTTCGAGGATAATATGAAAATTTGACCAATAATTTTACCTGATTTTAATACTAGGTAAAATCTAATAAAATCTTAAGCCTATTTTACTCGTGCTTTCTTGTAAACCCATGATATTTACGTCAGATTCAATCTCATTATTCTACAAAGTGAATTGATGTGTAGTTTTGGGTAAAAAATTGGATTACCTTTAAAATTGTATGCTGTCTACAGAGGCTAAACAAAGACAACAATTTTACCGGTAAGGAGATTTTAAACAAAGCCAAAAATATGCATTTTTTAGCATAAGCTTCATAAATGGATTAGGCAAGTGGAAAACTTTGATAGCAGATGATGGCTTAATGCTTAGTATACCGTTTCGTGTTGACCTAATTTTAGCGGACATCATATACTTGATAAGTTACTACCAAAGTATAATGCATACTTTTGTAACAATACCCAAAACATCGAACCACCTTAATTTAACAATGAATTAAGTTTTTCTGTGGCATTTTTTTAAAACTTGGTTAGCTAGTCCCTTGTGTATGAACTTTTCTCTGCAGCATGCCTAAATAGATTCATAGTTTCCAGGGGCACCCACAATTCTAAATATGAATCATAGGGCTCAGATCAAAAAGATGGCCATAGGAATTGTTCATGCATATATGGGTTTCAAATCCAGTGTCACTTTGATTAAAACTATTTGATGATCAACAATTATTGAACTACTTAGTTATGCAAGTGATTGGCTGACACAAAAGAGCATTAATAAGTGAATAATAACTAAGGCTCATTTGTTTATTTCTCTTTTTGAATAAAATAATTCTTCTTTTACTCGTACCTAAGAAGAGGACCGGATGCAGATTAGAGTGGAGATGGAACCTGAGTCAAATGAGACTCAAAATTGGTTTTTCCAGGTTTGATAGTACGGGACTGTATTATAAGGCTGATTGCATTGTCCATTTAACTCATTTTCGCGAGCCAACGTGCAAATTTCTTTAAACAATAAAGTAATGACATTTCGGCCACATTACAAAAGCCTGTCTAAGAGTTATTTTATCTAATTATTAAAATGACTACTTAGGCAATAAAGTAAGACAACTTATTTTTCAGCTGCGCCTTCTATGTTCTATTAGCACTTGAGGCAATAACGATGCTAAAGCAATGTCAAAACTTCAGTCTGATCTGAATGAGAATGCAAATTTGGTGTATAAGCCTGAGTAAAATTCAGTCTAAATATTTTCTTTAATTATCTCTCAATACCTTATAATGCAAATTCTACAATAAAACATAACTTGGCAAGTCAATCATAATGATTAATGCTTCAAAAGCAAAACTGATGT